CTCTTGGTTGTTGCTGCTGACACAGTGGTGGTATGTGTTAGATCCTCATCGCAGACCAAAGTGTGAAGAGTTTTATCAATGGTGTGATGTGGTTTGGCAGCGCTTGGACCAGAGAGGGAGGTAGCGCTGAGGACTGAGTCATACAACCACACAAATGTTGGGGAGGAGAAGAATATAAAGATGAGATGAGCAACTGTGGTCTTCAGAAACACTCAGAAAAACAAGAAATGAAATAGATGGAACATAAAAAGGAACCATACGCTGAGTTCTGCACTGATGTAACACACTTTTTTGTCAGAGAAATGCTGGAGACCCTAGCTTTCTGGATCATTTCTTTCTGATGTGTTGTCACATTGAGTGCACTGATAAGTTGTTTTCAAACCTTTAGTGCATACAGGATGTTGCTTGTGCTTGTTGTCACCAGGGCTGTAACTATTATTATTATTATTGTTATTATTAGATTATGCCCTTTCAAGGAAATCCTTAAACTACCACGTAAGTTTTATTTTGTTAGAAAAAAAAGTCTCGAGTGAGAGTTTGTAAGATGTTTATAAACCAAATTGTTTCTGCATAGAAGTACTAGAACATACTTAAACCTCATTTTTTGAGCATTAGGTCACATCTAAGGTGATAGTTCACCGTTGTAACATTGTAGATAAGTCAGAAAAAGAGGAAAAGCATGTCATGGGCTCTTTAAAGAAAATATACTTGGTCACCACCAATATAGCTTTAGGAAATCCGACTGTAAACCCTTGTCTGTTACATATTTGATAGAACAACCTACAGGGCTGATACTGTATATAACGAATTTGATATAAATGAAGAGTTTGCTGTTTTTTGGATTTTTTTCTGAAGCATTCGATATAGTAAACCACTATATTCGGCTGCAAAAGCTACAGAGGGTACGCGTAGCTGAAAGTACCCTCTGATGGTTCTCCAGCTGTCTACATGGTCAAAGCCAGTTCGTCTCCTACCAAGGAATTAACTCAGCTCCTCTTAATATTAAATCTGGTGTCCCACAGGGTTCAATTTTGGGGCCAATGGTGTTTATAATTTATGTTTGTAGACTCACATTTAAAATTTTATGTGCAGATGAAACATTTTTTTGTGTGTCATACAAACCTAACTGACTGAACTGCAGTCTTGGATAACCAACAAAATCACATATCAAAATGGCTTAATATAAGGAAAACGTTGAATCAGTGTTGAGAAAACTCAATTTATTATTATTTACTCAGAGAACAAATCTATAAACATTAATGTAGATTATATGCTTTTGGAGAGTTACTTTGAGATGATTTTTATATATAATGATTAGAAGTCGCATGTTAATATGATTTGCTGCAAAACAGCAAAAACCATAGGTATCTTTTGCTTTGTGATTGAAGACTTGGATCTTCAAGCTGTAAAAAAAAAACCCCAGAACACTAAACTAATGAATAAGGTGTAGAACAAACTGATACATTAAATAATGTAGAAGGTGTTATGAATAATACAGTATGTTACAGTAATCACATCAGCCTGTTCCACAACAGTTGCATGTTTGATCCAAAGCCAGGGGGTGCACAAAAGCATGTTGTTATTTTTTTGTTGCACCCATAATAACAATCTGCTCCTCTCCCTCCTCTGCAGCCTCTCCTCGGTGGGTTGGCATGGCTCAGTGATGAACGGAGCGGTGGTGCCCGGTAGCCCGGAGCTCTCCTCCTCGTGCCCACTGCCTGACTGGCGAGAGTTCTGTGAGCTCCATGCTCGAGCCTCCGCTGCAGACTTTGCTGACAAGTTTCAGCGCTTCCTGTTGGAGAACCCATGTTACGACTCGCCTGGTGCTGATGCCAGCTTCTCACAGCACTTTGCCCACCATTTCCTGGAGTGCTTCTCTGCAGCACTGACCCAGGCCCGGGAGAACCAGGCGTCATCACCTGGGGAGAACGGCTCCAACATGGTGCCCAAGTACAGCATCGTTCCTTTCCTAGGAATCCAGGGCTGCCCGCTGTCTTACAGTCAGGACCTCTACCAGAGGCGCAAGGATGCCGGGGCTTCAAGTGAATCCCTGGACAGTATGGACAGTGGTGGAGGAGGGATAGACGGAGGAGGCGGTGGCACCGCCACTGCCTCCCGATGCCCTCAGCCAACCCACAAGGTGTCTGCTCTGGGACAGTCCCGCAGCTCAGAGGACGTTTCAGTCAGTCACCCAAAGGCTCGCTTCAAAAAGGGCTTCTCCCTGAGGAACATGAGTTTGTGTGTGGTGGACGGGGTAAAGGAGATGTGGCACCGACGGGCTTCCCCTGAACCTGATGCACCCTCTGGTGCAAGGAAGGCTAACGGGGGAGGAGGAGGGGAGGTTGCAGGGGCAGAGAAGTGGTCCCAAAAGCTGCGGCTTCCCAGGGGTTCCCAGGGCCACAAGGCTGAGCTGCTGGAAATCCAAAGGGAGGGAGCACTGCGGTACATGGTGGCTGATGACACAAACTGCATGGGCGCTGCACAGTGGCAGAAGTGTCGCCTGCTGCTGAGGAAGACAAAGAGGGAGGAAGGAGGGGAGAGGTTCCTGCTGGAGTTCTACGTACCACCCAAGGTACACAACACACACACATAGACATAGAGGACATTTAGAAAGAGGAACACATTGCTGAGATGATTAGTCGGCAGGTTAGTTTAAGGCCACAACTAATGATTAACCAGCCATTTGTCATTATGGGTTATTGAGTGTGGATTGATGGGGGAAAAAAATCATCCATTTTAAATTAAATTTACAAGAAAAAATGAGCAAAAAAGTGAAAGGGTCTGAACACTTGGTGAAGCCATGGTAAATATAGTGAGGAGGTAATTTTGTCCACCAACTGTTTAAGACATGAATCATTAGTCACAGCCCTTTATGCATTCAGCCCTTCCAGAATTCAGTGACAGCATTGAAGTCAAACTATGCACGCTTCCCATTTGTCTGCTGTATATGGGATTTGCAGATCATTGCCACTGACCTTAAGAAGACTGTGAAACCTTGCAGCTGAGTGTGTGTAAATCTGCCTCTGTCCTTTGAACATGGCTAGTGGGAATGTGGGGACAAGGATGCAGAGAGGGGGACGGGTTAAGGACAGGTGGGAGGCAGGCATGGGAAGGAGGTAAAGGAGCTGGTACACAGAACTGGAGAGGGAGGGAGCTCTTAAATTGATCTCTGTAAGGGATTTCAAAGTTTTCCTTTCATGCAGAAAAAAAGATTGGTTTCTTGTCTTTGGCAAACTGACTGCAATGACAAACTGAAAACAGGAACTGAAATAGTTTTGAGTCACTCAGAAACTGCCAAACTCAGTGAGATCCGCTTGGTGAAAATGTGAAATGAAACTCAGTAATTGTGCTTCGGTAGTTTCCTCTATTAGGTTCTATTAATGTCCACACATGGGAAAATTATTATCAGCCATGAACCAGGCTGAGGTTAAGAGAGGCCAGCAGTTACAGCCTTGAAGACACATTAACTAAGCACACACATCTCGGCAGTTTTATCACTGCCATCCCAGGTCTTGCAAATCATAACAGTGCAGAGTCAACAGTGTTGGAAAAGTAACCCGACTCATAAAATATCACTCCTGCCTGCTCCTGGCTGACCGACTCTGGCTCCGTCCCTGTCAGGGCCATCAATCTGCCAGCTGCTCCGTGTGGCACACACAGCACACTGCAGCACGCGGACTGCCTGCATTATGACACAGCAGTGGGCTCTGGGACGACCCACTCCCCATTCACACCAACCAACCTAACATGCAGTAACTACACAGTAACAGTAGTTGTAACACATCAGAAGAATTGTTTATCCTATCAGAGAAACACCTTAAAGTAAATATGTTAATTCCCCCGCCATGTAAAAGCTATTGGCTTGTTTTTGCTGTGTTTTTCTTATCTTTCTTATTCAAATTAAAGTCCGTTACTGCGAGTGTTTCAGCAGACCTGACTGTTACATGTGTTATTTTATTAAGGTTTTTGTTGGGGCATGTTAAGTTGGTCGTGGAGAGGTGGACAGGAAACGGGGGACACCTGTGACAAATGTTGGTGGTCGGACTTGAATTGCTGTCATTGCGCACGCAATGTGCTGCCCAGGGTACGTGGTGCGTTGTGCCGTAACCGCTCGGCTATGTGGCGCCCATGTTACATGTACTTAAAGGAAAAGAAAGTTTCAAATATTGCAGCTGTGGCTCAGGAAGTAGAACAGATCATCTTGTAACCGGAGGGTTGGCAGATCAATTCCCTGCTTTTCCAGTCCACATGTTGAAGTGTCCTTGAGCAAGACACTGAACTCCCAGTTGCTCCCAGTGATATCACTGGTATGTGTGGGTAAATGGGAAATAGTGTAAAGCACTTTGAGTTCGCTTCCATGTGCACAAAGGCCCTATATAAGGCCATTTACCTGAGAAATGCCATTTTTCTCCTTAGAGATACTCTTTCATACTCTTGCAGTATTCACTGTGAATGCTAAATGCACGTCATGAGCCAACAGGACAATGTTTTGCGTCTGACCCCATATGTACAGTAGAAACACAGGGTTCCACAACAACCAAACTGTGGTTACTTTTTGAGCAACTGAGACATTTTATATATTTATTGCTTCTACATTTAGTTTTGTTTAAGACAATTTTAAGTCAGCCATTTTCAGCTCCAAAAGCCCAGTGTACTCGATCTGTCCAGGGCCAGACAGGGAGAGAGACAGCTGGCAACTAGCAGGTGAACATAGGGGAGCATAATTCATCAGATGGACACAAGTTACACTTTTGTCAACACAATTGTAATTAGGCCAAATTCACCACAACAAATGAACACTATCTCCAAACATGGACTCCATGCTAGTAGCAGAAAGTGAGAAAAATGATTTTTGTCATTTGGGTGCAACAATCCTTTACCCTGACACTGGGCTTGAGCTGATCACAGTATAGAGGTAAGAGAGGAAATGATCAGATTGTTTAATACAGGAAGTGGTTTTGACATCTGATCCAGAGAAAGGCACTGTGGGTGTGGACGGCAGCCAGCTTCACCGGCAGATGAAGATGAGAACAGTGTTCCTCCAGACAGACCAGCTGATAAGCCTCTGGCAGACACACTAGTCTGTCAGTCTGCTTCTCGCTCTGCCTCTCCTGACACACACAGAAGGAAGCTCACTGTGTCAGACACACTCGCTGCATCTGTTAAGATTGTTGTCTGGATCAAACTCTGAAGAGGGAAAACTGAGGCCAGGCTGTTTCCTGTGATCACTCTCTTTTAAAGTCTCCCTGTTTCAGGTGTGTTTCTCTGTCAGCAAGAATAATCACTGACAAATGCAGTAAGAGGCTAAAAGTAATTGTTAGTTGCAGCCATGAAATGGAACTGTGGAGTCATTTTTGCAAACTCGGCCCTATGTGTTTAATATTTTTCTTTCAATATTTGAATGACTTATTTAATCTCAGGAAACAGGAGGGCTGTAGTTCATTGCTGCTAATGCTGCACCAATAATTTTAACTGAAAATTTCCCCTTAAGGAGAACTTTAAGGGCTTGGAGAAACTCAGTGCTTTTCAGATTAAAACATCAGGTAGCACATTCTTTTACTGTCTACGTTTACTGTCTACCATCAGCAAAAGCAGGGGTCGCCAGCCTTTTCCCCACGTGATTGTTTCACATGAAGTCTACTGTTCTTTCAACCTCTCATCACAGGATGCTTGTTTATGATGTATGAGCAGCTTGAACCAAGAGTCACCCTTTTAGATTATTTAAATGATTCATTTTTACAAGTTAGAGTATATTAAGAAAACTAAACACACCATGGTGTAGCAGAGTCAATCTATTTTTGGCTCCTACCCTAGTAATAAACTTGTGCCCCCTTCATCTCAGCAGTATGGGTGTTGACATCACAGTTTAATTATTACGAGTTTTTATGTGTGTGTGTTCTAGTCCTCAAAGCCCAAAGTAGGCATCCCTCTGTCAGCCATTGTGGAGGTGAGGACAACCATGCCACTGGAGATGCCTGACAAGGACAACACATTTGTTCTTAAGGTAGGAGGTGCACAAACGTACAGCTCCATTTACACAGCTGCATCCACATTTGTTGAAATGTTTTATGGGAACATTTTCGCAAAAATGACGTGGAAAATGGAGCTTGGAAAAAAAACGGGTTGTTGGAAAATTAGCCATCCTCTGCCCTTGCTGAGTTTACACTGGGTTTGCCCTGTTCTGTACCTTGGTGTGGTGCTTTGAACAGAACTCAGTGTGTGATCGCAGTGTTTGGCTGCTTCTGCAGGTGGAAAACGGGGGAGAGTACATCCTGGAAACCATCGACTCGCTGCAGAAAAACTCGTGGGTTGCTGACATCCAGGACTGCATAGACCCCGGGTAAACCACCACATAAATATTTGCTGTTGGCTGAACATAGAGAGAGGAGAGGGGCAGAGGGATGGACGTGGGGGGAAAGGGTGGATGGGAAGGGGGAAGGAGGGGTAACACACACATACATTAATCACTAAATTAATGGAGTTTTTGACAGGTTGCTTGAGCACAAACATGGGTGAGCTTGCAACACTGACATTCCTCCTCAGTTTCCTGGGTTAGTGAATGTTAGTGCAGCTCAGCACGTAAACAGAAGGACTGTTTGTGTCCACGCTTGTAGGAGGAGGACATGGGTCAAGTTGTGTGTTAGGACTCTGATGTTTGTTTGCACGTGTGTGCATGTGTACATGTTCTTGTGGTTCCTCTGACCTACCTGCTTGTGTACAGTGACAGCGGTGATGACATTGAGCTGGCGTCGTGTCCTCATGGTCAGGCCTCCAAAGACTGCTCCATGGTGGCCTCTTGCAGCTGTGAGCTGCTGTCTGAGGGTGAGGAAAGGCCTTTCTTGGTGCATTGCAAAGCATTCTGATATTTTGATCCAGGAGAATGAGTTAATATATGAACACATGTTTAGGAGTATATCGTGCTCCAGAGAGGTCGTGTCCTACAGCAGCAGAGCATTACAGTGCCCCCTCAGTCCGTTGCAGGGAACCCCCCTTCACACAGCACCCATCCCACATGCCTTTGGAGCGCTTTCTCCAGTCCCCAGATCCCCAAGGCTCAAACTCTTCTGCAGGTAATAGCACATACATTTCCTTTCCCCTTTCCAGATAATCAGCATCCAAGCAAAATGTTACAGGTTTTAGGACATGGATTTCTGTGGGATTCTGCTTAGGTGGCCCCGAAGGAGCGAAAGACTCAGATGGCGATGCCAGTCTAGCGGGTTACCCATGGTTCCATGGTACACTGTCTCGCGTGCGTGCAGCTCAGCTGGTGCTTGCAGGAGGAGCCAGGAGCCACGGGCTGTTTGTGATTCGTCAGAGCGAGACGCGGCCTGGCGAATACGTCCTCACCTTCAACTTCCAGGGCAAAGCCAAGGTGAGACAATTAAGAGAGAAGAGAGACAGAATTATGTTAAATTAACTCAGAGAAAGGTATGTTGGTGTGTTGTATATGAGGGGTGCAACTAGAACTACAGTTGTCTTACTTGTTGATGTATTGTAAAAAATAGTAATAGAATTGACGAGTTTAAACATAAATATAAAAGTATGTGTCAATCAAGATATATGCAAAAACAGGCTTAATGATTAACCAGATGGAACATTGTGGGTGTGGTGTATGAATGTTAATACTCTGTAATAATTCTTTAATATATTACTTGTGTGGTGTAGAAGATAAGTATTTAAGAATGTAATTATGTACGAATGTTAACACTCTGTTATAATTCTTTAGTATATTACTTGTGTGGTGTAGAAGAGAATTATCTATGTAGAGATACTGCTTGCAAACCAATGATGGTAAGATGATGTCATGGGGTAGGACTGGATAAGTCTGACTTCTTCCTTCCTACTCCATTCAAGCATGTACTAGGTATTGTTACATTTTTTTCTTTATATATTTAGTTTCTGAAATGTGTATTTTTTCTGACCAACAGTTATAAAAAAATCCCAATGTCTTGAACCTAAAGTGAAATAAAAACAGAGGATGTTCTGGCAAGAGCTAAATCGCAACCTGAAAATCTTTTGCTTGATTAAAGACCTAGGACAATTAATCAGTCATCAAAATTGTCCTTGATGAATTTTGTGTAAGTAATACATGAACTTGCTTCTACACTAGAAAACATTCATCTCTCCTCCCAGATGCAGTCTTGCTCTGCAATTGTGTTCAGTTTGTTCTCTTGACATCTTGAGATGCAGCTTCTGCAGGCCACAGCAGACCAAATTGTTCAGGCCCTGGAAAAGATGCAGTAATGTCATCGTTTTGTGTCCTCTTATGTAACATGATCCTTGCACATCGCATCCTGCCAGCCGGCAGCACTGAGGAAGCGCCAGCTGCCGCCTCTTCCTCTGGTGTCAACCTTGGCATTCTTGCTGCTCTGCTGTCAGCAAGACGCCTCTCGGATAATGTCCTGACCTCTGTCGTGGTCTGTCTGTTTCAGATGTTCATGGTGTCTCACGTTGCAGTTCTCTCTCTTTCTGTGTTTTCTTTTTCTTTATCTCCTTTGCTTCTCTTTTAACATTTTTTTTCTTCATTCCTTTGAATCACAAACTTTTTTCTCCCCTGTCACTTTTTTCTGCCTCCCCCACACACCCTTCCTTCTCTCTCTCAGCATTTGCGTTTGTCAGTGAATGAGAACGGCCAGTGCCACGTCCACCACTTGTGGTTTCACACCGTGTCAGACATGCTGAGACACTTCCACACCCACCCAATCCCCCTTGAATCCGGAGGCTCAGCTGACATCACGTTACGCTCCTATGTACAAGTGCAGCGAAGCTCCACAGCAGGTACATAACTCTCAAACTTAAACTACTCACAGACACCCTTCAAATCTGTTGATCTAACTGGAAACTTATAGATGTTGATGTCTCTAATCAGGCACCTGTACCAGACTCAAAGGCCTACTACTAGATACCTTCTTAGATGCTAATATGATGCTTAATTTGTGCTTTATTAATAGCAGTTGTGCTGAAGAAGTCAAACCATTCAGAGTTAAGGGTCTTGCACGCACACAGTTTTTTAAAGTATTGTTGCTGATTAGACGTCTGCCCAGCTTGTTGAGTACTGCTGTGTAGGAAATTACCTGAGGTTGCAAAGTCTATAAAGTCTCTATACACCAACATAGCCCTGACCAGAGGTATAGTTCGAGCTATTTAATGAAAACATTTGTGTGGATGTACTTTAGAAGCCTTTAGTGCCTTTAAAAACACAGCGTGTGAACTGTAAGACAGGCCAGTTTCATTGAAGACATTATGATGTCACAGTATGACATGCACAAGTATGAGCCATCGTTTGTGTTGTTAGTAATCCCTGTGCTTTCCCGGTATAACAAGTCAAGCTGTCTGCTGTGAGTAAGGTCTGGTCACTTTCCTTATTAAACCTTCATGTGTTTCCAGTGTGGTTTCTGTTAGTATAGCGCATTTGATACTGGATTTTAAGGCCAATATTGATATTTAAGAGTTTAGAAGGGAATTTGACTCTAGTACAAAAAATAAAAAAGAGCAAAAAAGAAAAAGTGGTCAAACAATAAATAGGAATGTGCATTAGGAAAATACAAATAAAGTACTTATATATATGGACACAGTTTTTCAGATAGTTATATGCAAAGGTATATTGACAAGGTATTGCAGTGAGGGTTGTTGTTCTGTTATACAGTCATGGGTTAAGTGTTCATCATAAGCGACGGCCCAGGGGAAGAAACTGTCCTTGTTTATAGTTGTTTTAGCGTACAGTGACCTGTAGTGCTGTCCAGAGGGGAGGAGTTCAAACAGTTCATGTCCAAGATGTGAAGGGTCTGCAGGAACCTTCTCTGCCCTCCTTCTGACCCATAAGGTGTACAGGTCCTCCATGGAGGGCAGGCTGGCTGATTCTTTCTGCAGTCCTGACTGTTCACTGGAGTCTGTTCCTGTCCTGTTTGGTTGCTGAGCCAACAGTGATGGATGAGCCGACAACAGACTCGATGATTCCTCTATAGAAATGTATCAGCAGCTCCTGGGGCAGGTTGAACTTCCTGAGCTGGTGCAGGAAGTACATCCTCTGCTGTGCCTTCTTGGTGATGGTGCTGATGTTGGGCGTCAACTTCAGGTCCTGGGAGATGGTGGAGCCAGGAACTTGTAGGACTTTACTGCTGATACAGTGCTGCTGAGTATGGTGAGAGGGGGTAGGGTGGGGGGGCTCCTCCCGAAATCCACTGTCATCTCCACTGTTTTAAGCGTGTTCAGCTCTAGGTTGTTGTGACCACACCACAGGACTGGCTGTTCAACCTCCCTTCTGTAGGTCGACTCGTCACCATCTTGGATGAAACCGACAATGACAATCTGTGTCATCTGTGAACTTGAGGAGTTTAACAGAGGGGTCCTCTGAAGTGCAGTCGTTTGTGTAGAGGGAGAACAGTAGTGAGGAGAGCACAATTTTGACATAAACACAAAGAACAAACAAACATCTTTTTTGAATGGGATATTTTGCACCTGAAAAAGAAGCTTGTGCTCTTTGGTGGACAAACTAAGTGACCCAACTTTGTTTTTGTAATTTCTTGTTATTTATCAGCCAAATTATACACAGACACAATATACTGGCAGTAAGCTAATATCAGCAGTTATATTGGTCTGCCTCTCTTCATTACATTGCTTTCAAGTTAAAGCAAGACTGTAATATCTGAAAGAGGGATTTATACTGTACATTCTTCCTCTAAAAAATGAAAAGTTGAATTCATAAATAAAATACACACTACATATTGTACTGGGGTTTTGCTGTAGCAGCAACGTTAATGTATGTTATTAATGGGAAACTCATTATAAATTTCCTGAAATCATAAAATTTAAATAAGGAATGGGCCAAGAGTTTTGCCGCTAAAGTCTTACATTGCTCTGGTTGCTAAAGTCTATGAAGCCACCTTGTGGTGGCTAATTTTAGCTAATATTGCAAACTTATATAAGTTAGTCACTGCTGTGTAACTGACTCTTCTCTATGTAGCTATGCTATAGATAATGTTTTATTTCAGTTGCCCCCATTTAGTTGCTTAAATCACCCTAAAAATGCTCATATTTAGCATGTTTGAGCTTTTGACTTGGACCTTAGACTGTGGAAATAATTTGGAGGTGGTTTCAAAAGAATAGGTGTCTTGGTTTGACCCAGATCACTGGCAATCAGAAACTTACAGAAAGTCAGATGGAATGATGAATAGCAGAGTATTGTACTTGTATATAGAAGAAGCAGAGCTAACATTCATTGACACCCCCGCCCACCAAATCCTTCATGCCCACACTGCTCTTGCCCTGCACCGTCCTGGCATGTCATGAATGGCCTCCTGTACAGGAGAGTGAGGGGGTGATTATACTGCAGGAACTTTGCATGCAGGCCGAGACTCCGGCCCCAACCCACCCCAGTGGTCACAAAGAGGCTCTCTGTCTCACCAAATGCTGAACCTACGCACACTCATGAAGTTAGTTGCACACAGACTGAGGGTTTGATTTAGGATGTAAAAGGATTTACTGATACCGTGGTCAGGCTTGTCTTTGGCACCAGTGTTGTTGTTGGTGTTATTGCCCCCCAAGAGAAAAGATAATAAAGGAGCCCCAAACCAACAAACTATTATCAGCAGCTAAGATTAATTTAAATGATTAATATTAATGTTCTTCCTTTTAGATTTTTTAAGGATGTTTTCAGGCCTCGTTACTCTGCTCCCTGTCAGCAGGTTTGGTTCCCTGACATAAAACAGCTCTTGTTCAACCACTTGTTCTTGTTCATTCACAAATTTTGACCAGTTTCTTGACTACCATTTTTAGCTCAGGTTTTAGAAAAGATGGTGGCAGTGGGGGACAGGGGAGGTTTGCACTCTGAGTGCTGTCTAGTTGTAATGTGTCTTTTTAATAAAATTATTTCTGTCGTCTTCCCACTTTCACAGATGTGACCGTGCCTCCAGTCGTTACCCCACCCAGAGATGCAGGCTGCAGGACAGATGCAGCCCAGCCAGCTCTTCACCCTCCTGGGATCACAGTGCCTGCAGGACCCCCTCCTGATGCTCCGCTCTCCTCAAGCACCTCCTCCTCGCCCACTGCTCTCCCCTCCCTCTCCCGCAGCGACCCAGGTATTGGAGGAGGAGGAGGGTTACAGAGCCGGAGTAACAGTTCTGAACGCCTGCTGGAGGCCTCTAGTGGTGCATCTGAGGACTACCACGATGCTGATGGGACTCGCAGGGCTCGGGCTGTGGAGAACCAGTACTCTTTCTACTAAATGACCCAGGGCAGCGTTCAGTGATGTATTTTCTGGATTAATTGGATGAGATGTTGAAAGTTGGAGGTGACATGGGACACTCTGTTGATGGTGAAAACGGTCCAAATTACTGAATTATGTTTTGGGGTTTTTTTTCAAGGCAATTTCCTGTTTCTCTTATTTGAGAAGGGAGATCATGTGGATCAAGTACAAAAGGAGAGGCTGAAGCTGGAGATTAGACCTAGATGTAGAAAGCGCGATTTGTGGGTTTTTTCTCTATAATAATAATAATAATAGCACGGTCTAGAGTCTGGACCTTACTTTGTAAAGTGTCGTAAGCTAACTTTTGCTGTGATTTGGCGCTATACAAATAAAACTGAATTGAATTGAAGAGGAGTGTGGGTGTAGAAAGAGAAAGTCATCCAGTGGAGTCATATGGCTTTGATTTGCCTCTTCCTGTTCACCCATACTCGCAGTTCCCTGGGAGCAGAGCCTGTGTCACCATCCCGCTGAAGGACAGAGAGTTTAAAATGACCCTGAAGAAACAGTCTCTCCCTCGGAGCTGCCCCAAGCTCCTGAGAGCATCCTGTTAATGTTTGTAAAGCTGCTTTTGAATCTGTCCGGATATGCTCATTGTCCCTGAGGAGGTTCCATACAGAGTCCTGCACTGGGTCTGTGCTCTACACTAACATCAGTACAGCAATCATGGCAGTGTTATTCATCCATCCATCCATTTTCCTCCGCTTATCCGGAACCGGGTCGCGGGGGCAGCAGTCTAAGCAAAGATGCCCAGACTTCCCTCTCTCCAGACACTTCCTCCAGCTCCTCCGGGGGAATGC